CAGATAAAACTGCCCCCTTTTCGCTGACCTTGTTGGTTTTGTGACAGAGAAAGAGTAAAAAAAAGAGACAGCCACAAACTAGATCTCAGAGCTACTGTACCATGCACATGGCCAAGTTACATAACCACTCTTCCAATTCAACAGAACATGCACAGAAACAGAAACAGGTTACTAAAAGTCCGAAGCACAAAGAAGGTATGAAAATCCTGAAGTCAATAGTTAGGGAGATTCAGATCATCCCCTCAAGGAGAAGTTGAACATTTGAACACTGCAAATTAGCACACCCATTGTGGGCCATAAAAAAATGCGATCACTCCCCTCATTTGATGATTAGATGAATGGCTTGGCAAAAATCCATGCGTTATGTAGGCAAGTGTATGTTCTGGTTGTTTTGGTGGCATCCACCAACACCCCTTGTTAATTGCACAGTCTAGATATAGTTTAACATAATGACCTCGAGGAACTGAATCAAAATACATAAGACTTTTTTTATTCACAGTTTCTCCCCTAACCCATGAATTCAGGCAGAGGTGAGCCATGTTTATGTAACTAGAAGCAGATGAAAGAAAGATTGTGTCTAGATGATTACTCTGGCACTTTTTTCCCCCAGCAGTCCAGAGGCACCTGTAATATTACCTGCCAAGACCTACACTCCATTAACATTGTAGTCTGACAGGTTTGTCTGAGTCAGCTTGGTAACAACTGCTTCAGTTCCACAGAGGGAGGTAAGTTCTTACTTATGTCTTGCAAGTACTCCACCTTAAGGTACAGAACTTAGAAAGCAATAAAGGATAAAGACACCGAGAAAGAGGCACAAATTAGGACTTGTCTGAATAAATGCAGAGAGTGGTACTAGAAACTGTGTTTTAGTGTATCTTGTAAAAACTAAACAGAAGGAGGCACAGGGATTTGAGAGACGGAACAACACACTTGTGTCAGGAAGTAAGTACTTTGAAATTGTCTATTTTTCCCAAGTATACCTTCCTTCATGAAAGACACTACCACTTGCCTAGGCGCCAGAGTCAAAGGGCCTAGCAGGTTGTGACATCTCTCCTCCTTCCAGGCCCTTCCCAATTTCAGGGCCTGGGACCTGAATAGAGAGCTCTCAAAAGAAGAGAAAAAAATGGCTAGGAAATATATATAAAAATTTGTTCATCATCCACAGCAATTAGGGAACTGCAAATCAAAACAACTTTTAGATTTCATCTTACTCCAATCAGAATACAGATCAACAAAACAACTAACAAGGAATGCTGGAGAGGGAGTGTGGAAAAGGGAATCCTCATTCATTGCTGTTGGAGTTGCAAACTGGTACAGGCACTATGGGAATCTGTGTGGAGAACACTCAAAAAGCTAAAAGGAAATCTACCGTATGACCCAGTTAAGTACCCAAAGATCTATAATCATGTTCAATGCTGCTCAATTCACAATAGCTAGGAAATAGAAAAACAAAAACAAAAAACCTAAGTGTTCTTTAATCAACAGATAATGAAATATAGTACACACTATGGAATATTATTCAGCTGTAAATAAAAATGAAGTCATGAACTTTGCAGGTAAATGAATCGAACTAGAAAAGATCATATTGAGTGAGGTAACCCAGACCCAAAAAGACAAATATTGTTTTCTCTCTCACTGGAGGCTCCTAGTTCCGAATCTTCAGATGTGAGTGCATACTGGTTTCTGCAGAAACCAAGAAAGTAAAAAGGGACTAGAGCTGGGGTAGGGAGTTGGAGGAGCAATAGAGAGGGCAATAGCAGGGACAACTGGTCTAATTGCATAAATGGGGAAAGGGGGACTCTGTTTAGGGAGGGGAGGGAGATAAATTATGAAGAAGGAGGGTAAAATAACTAGTGAAGTCATGGATACAGGGTAAGATCCTACAAGTACCGCCTCACTAAATCAACATAATCCCTAACTACATGCTAAATATTTACCTTTATACCCACAGAAAACTGTAATCTTCACCTCTCACCAAGAAAACTTCTCTTTATAACAGGAGACCATTATAGAAAACCACAAACAATTCAAAATGCAAAGATGCCAAGCTCAGACTCAATGGACACATCTACAAAACAACTCTCACACCTAAGGCTCAGGGAACACTGTGGAAGTGTGGGCAGGAAAAATTTAAGAGCCAGATGATAAGGAACTTTGCTGTGAGATTCTGTTTCCAAGTAGCAAAGTTACAGTCATAAAGTCTCATCAACTCGACTGCCTAACCATGAGTTGAACAAGGACAGTAACAACAGACAAGGGAAAGTCCTTGAGGCTTCAACCTTACAGAAACAACTACAGGCAACTAAGGAAACCTAATAGCAGGACAAACAGTCTTCCCCAAGGAAGACCACACCAAATGATTATCCAATATCAAATGGATATTGATATTGGATATCAATATCAATTATCAGCCCTGAAAACACAGATATAAATAACATTACATAGACTGCAAAGCTATATTTAGGAACATATGTGTCTCTATGTAGAGACATATATTTTCATGTAACAGCAATTAATAAAAAAAGGAGGCTATGAATTTCAAAGTGAGCAAGAAAGAGTATATGGGAAGGTTCTGAGGAAGGAAAGGGAAGGAAAAATGTGGTAATTATAGTCTCAAAAATAAAATTTTAAAATATCCATGGGTTAATGAATTGAACAGACATTTCTCAAAAAATGAAATGCAAATGGTCAAAATAAATATGAAACTCATTTAATATCCTTAGCCATTAGGAAAATGAAAATTAAAACTACTTTAAGAGCTGTGGAGATGGCTCTGGGGTTAAAAGCATTTGCTGCTTTTGCAGAGGACACAGCTTCATTTCCCAGCATCCATATAGCAGCTTGTTAAAACTATCTGTAACTCCAGAATCAGGGGATGTGACATCCCTACTGGCTTCTGCAGGCATCAGACATGCTCATGGTGCACACACATAGGCAAAACAGTCATACACATAACATGATAATTAATAAATCTTGAAAAAACTACTTAGAGAATTCTATTACAATTCTATTAGAATGGCCAACATTAAGAAAAAAATGACAGCAATGTTAGCAAGGATGTGGAGAAAGCAAAACCATAATTTACTGCTGGTAGGAGTGTGAACTGATGCAGCCATTATGGAATTCAGTATGGAGGTTTCTTAAACACACACACACACAGAGACAGAAGAGCTACTATATGACTTGGATGTATCCTCAGTACAAATCAAATGATTGTAAATCAACAAGCCACTTGTATATCTACACTCATCATTTCAGTATTCACAACAGGCAGGAAATGGAAGCAAACTACATGCCCATCAACAGATGGAATGATAAAGAAAATGTGGTATATAAAACAAAAAGAATTTTATTCAGCCATAAAAAGTAAAATAATGACATTTGGCAGGAAAATAGACTGAACTGGAAATCATTACATTAAGTAAACTATGCCAGACTCAGAAAGACAAATGCCATGTTTTTTCTTGTCTGTAGATCCTCTGTGTGTGTGTGTGTGTGTGTGTGTGTGTGTGTGTGTGTGTACAGGGGATAAGTTATAAGACTAGAAAGAGGACCTCAAGAGGAGTAGAGATCTTAAGAGGAAGAAGAAAAAGATGTTAATGGAATATAAGTCACATGAAAAGAGAGGGGTTACCGGGAAGAGGAAGGAGAGCAGCCAGAGGGGAGCAAAAAGGCAGGTGATGGAGTCTAGGGAACAAAAAAGAACAATGTATTATGAAAATTCCACAACAAGATCCATGCTATGCATGCTAACTTTAAAAAAATTTAAATATCTCATATGGAGACATTGTTTGTATAAAAAGAGCCTGTCTGTGGGAGTCCTTTGTCAGCATGGGGTGGGATGCTGCAAGCAATGGTAACAGCTTCCATTACCATCTGATCCTCTAAAGTATGGGTCAGACCAGCACTCTTTTCTATAAAACTGATCAATAATAATTCCCCTGTGTCTGCAGAAGAATGTCCAAATGCTTTGCCAAGATCCCTCAGAATCCAATTCTAATAATCTTTCCACAAGCACACTTTTTATACACACCAACTCAACCACGAAAAGTCAGATCAAGAGGTATACAGCTCTACCAAAAGCCAACCTGATTTTCCCAACCAGATCTAAGTGCTCTTTCCTTATGCGTATTAAGACCCTTGGTATGAATTTAACCCAGAGCATTTATTTGTCACTTTCTACCTTGGTATCCAAGGTGAACTGAGTCTAGGACTCCCTACCCCTCAGGACACTAATACCAAAATCTGAAGCTGCTCAGATCATTTATGCAAAATGTCAGTCTTTACATGCAAGCTATGCACTTCTTAAATACATTAAATTATCTCTAATACTCATCAGAAGGCAAATGCTTTGTAAATAGTAGCTGTGCTATTTTGTTTAGGGAATGATGACAATGAAAATAAATACATACCTTCAGCTGTGTGAAATATTTTTGATCTACAAAATGTGCACCCTGAGATATAGAGTATCTATAGGTATTTGTTCAATTCTCACCATATATTCCAGGGCGTGCCAGACCCTTTAATTCATTTCTTTAGACCAAACAAGCAGCTTTCAAATAGCAGTACAATTGATCCCATGTTGATGGAAAAATAGTTTCTAGCATTGTAAGCAGGAAATTCAAAGCCCACATACTGTCCACGATACCTGGTGCCTTTCATGGCTTTACTCAGAACTCTTCACTCAACACGTCCTCAAGTCCCTTCTTACTGGATTCAGTGTAATTTACCTTCACTATGCCTCACAGGACCAGCATAGTACTACTATATGCAGAGAAAAGATTTAGTGACTGTTGAGTAAATATAAGATCCCATTAAATCTTTTGGCCTACATGGCCCATAATTCCTCAGCTATAAAATTGGGAGTAGCATAGAGTCCAATCACACACTGGGCAGAGAACAACTTATTCTAACTTAGCCCAGCACTTACATGCCAGGCACTTTTTAAGGATTGAGTGGATCTGCATAAAAAATCCTATAATAGTTATTAAGTCCACTTTGTAGCTGGACAGGCTAAGGCACAGTAAACTTGCCATGGTTAATGAAGATTCTGGAATGAGGCAGTAAAAAGTAAATCCAGAACCCTTGCTCTCACCTAACATCGATTACTGCTTCTGGGCCCTAGAAAATCATATGAAAAACCATCAGAAAGGGCAAAACAAAACAACAAAATTTTTTAAGGAAATGATAGGTAAGTAATACATGGTGTGTGTGTGTGTGTGTGTGTGTGTGTGTGTGTGTGTGTAAATGGTATTACTGGTTACCTCTGAAATATACAAAATAAATGTTTTCACCTCATCAATCAAACTTAATTAATGGAATTAAAAAAAACTCAGACAAAATGGAAAAGGAATATATTTAGAATAAAGATGGAATACCTATGAATAATTTGAAGAAACAGGCAGCGCATACATATATAGTTATACTAAAGGATATTTTAAAAATCAATAATAAATGCACAAAAGCAACACCTTTTACTGGAAAGACTCCGTAATTGAAAGATGGTCCTTTTTCCAAAACTAATCTTGATAACACACTCTCAATTCGACTTACTCCAAGAACAAGCAACACAGTTCAGCAAATGCACATTTGCATGTGCACTCTTAGGAGATAATACCAGGGCATCATCCCCTTTGACCATGGACAGAAATTCTCCTTCAAGGAACACATCTGGCAGAAATGATGAGCTATCCTATTTAAAATCAGTAACAATTTTTCACTTAAATTCTGTGTGTAATAGAAGTGGGGGGGGTGGATAAATGGGAAAGGAAGGACTACTGTGTTGAAGACAATGTATATAGGTGACCATTTTATTTTTATATGGAATACAATTTAATGAAAGTGAGATGAGAGGCATGGGAGAAGGAGGCTTCCTGCTGGCTTTCTACATGTCTGCAAAGAACATGTATGACACCAGTCACTGGTACTCAACACTTAACTCAACATTGAGTCTTGTGCCAGGCACAGGGACACTGAGCAGGGCAGCAAGGAAACCTAAATCCTCTTTTAATCCCTAATTTAAATTGTTATGTTTGTGGCATAATAGATTATCTTATATTTGTATGTTTGTGGATTATTATTATTATTATTATTACTATTACTATATTAATTCTTATATATTATGTTGAAACAGGGTCTTGCTATGAATCCCAGACTGGCATGAAACTTGAGATCTTCAACCTCCCTCATACTGGGATTACAAGCCTGTGCCACCATGCCCAGCTGTTTGCATTTTTATGTATTTTGATGCCATGGCTCTGTTATTTTAATTACTGAGACTTTATAACATTTTTTTATTTAATTAAGTGTATTTTTTCTCATGATCCAGAGTAATACTCCTGGCTTTTAAAAACAACTTTAGTCTACAACCATACTACCCTGACTGCTCCATCTTGTCTTAAAAACAACTTTATTGAGGCACTCTTTACTACAACAAAATGTACCATTTAACTGTATATTTCAAAGTTTTGACAAATTCAGTCAGGTAACCACCATCACGATTTCCAAAAAATTAATGAAAGTATTTTAAAGAGTGTTTCAAATTATAACTAGGAAAACTACAATAAATTTATTCCAATTAAAATATGGGGAGGAGAACTAATATTCCATCTACATAAATGCAAAAGACTAATAACTGGAAATTAAGTATTGATCCTATGGTAAAGCAAATTAAAACTACATACCATTATTCTACATCATTAATATAAAACTTCAAATGTAAAAATATTTAAAATAAACAGAATCTCATCAATCTAGATGTAGTTTTATTTTATTTTGATTATTTTTGCTTCATTATTCTCATTTCCATTTTTTTTTCTGATTCTTACGTTAAGAGTTGGAAACACCTTGCTTGCTCTTCTGAGCTCATAACCTATGTAGCCCATAAGAACCCTCTGGAAATGCGCCCCTCAAATAACTATTTCCTTTACGTGGTTTATTTCTCTTGGGGAAATAGAGGCATGCACTCCAGGACACACACACCTGCTGATTTTCTGATAGTCCGCATAATGAGATCATTGAAGAGACGCTGTGGTCCCAAAGGTAGAAAGCAAGGGCCATGCAGGAGATGCTGGGTCACAGCGACCTGCGGTGGTTCAGGCCCCGTGACACCTCCGTGAGCGCAGTGCGGCACGGGAGACGCCTGGGCACGAGCGCCAGCGCGAGGGCTCAGACACACCCATCCATCCTAACTATCTCTTTGGGGAAAGGAATACTAAAAGAGAACCCGAAGACTGGCATGGAGAGATTACCGCTGACCTTGGGGAGTCCCCGCTGCTGCCCTCCGGCCTCAGTTTCCCCACCTGCAGGCCCAGAGTGCCGGAATCCATCGAATGGCGTTCCAACCGCAGGCGTTTCCGGGAGCAGGGAGGGGCGCCTTCCTCGGGTCACCTTCGCGGGAGAACGCGCCCCACCGAGGAGGCGC